GTCCCTCGCTGTCTTTCTCTCTGGCTGCCAGAGAGTGCTTGATAAAGACAAATAACATTTGACATTTCGGTGGCCCTGATAGAATTATATGGAGTATTTGTTGAGAGATCAGAGAAAATCATGAGCTGTAATGTTACCTTGGTGACAGCATTGTTATCGCCGGTGGATGAGAGTGTGTGTGTGAGAGTGTGAGTGTGTGTGACTGTGTGGAATTGCAGACTCTCACCTGTTTGCCAAGAGCAGGAAACGTACACCATCAGATCGGGCCTGCGTAGTTCAATCTACAAACCTGTATGACTTTCTTTTTTCTGTGGAAAACAAAAAAGAGACATTTGGAAGAATGTCTGAGCTGCTCTTTTCCACAGAAGCACCATGATAGTTGTCCATGTATTCAGTCTTCAACTGAATTTAAGTCATTATTCACTGAAATTTTGCTTTACAATCACAGTTCTCTCTTATTCTACTGAAAAAAAAGCTGTTTAGACATTCTACATGGAAAAACTTCATAAAGGTTTTGAATGCCATGAGGTTGAATAATTGACATCTTGAAGTGTTTAACTCACCTATGGATTAGTTCAGACTCTATGGGCAAGTCTAAGACTCTGCCGTATGTTTACATGATTACAACACCTGGTGTGTGTGTGTGTTTGTGTGTACGGGGGTCCCTTCTTTTGAAGTGCGTACTAGTGGCATTGCTTGCAAGCAGCGTGTTTCCTGTGGTTGGCACAGAGAGAGCAAAGAAGGGGACAGAGGGAGAGAGAAAATTTCAGCTGTGCACGTTTCTTTACCACTCTGGGTTTTTTCTCCAGCTGTCACTTTGATTCAGGTCTGTGCTAGACCTATGACACATTAAACTAACACTTTCCACTAGCACACCTCAAATTCCCTCCCACAGCACAGAGAGGCCTGTTACGCAGTTTGAGAGCTTATAACGGCTTATAACTTCTTTTTTTATTTTATTGTACAACTCATTACCTGTTTGGTGAATTATAGCTGTTTATCTATTACAAATGTCAAAATATGCTCTGTGGTTCATGTTGTCTTTTTGAACTTGTAAATCATTTGAAAAATACCTCTTCTTGTAGTAGTGTTTGTTTGTGTATTTGTGTGTGTGTGTGTGTGTGTGTGCACGCATCTCTGCTGGTGCAGCTTCCCAGGATGCACAAATGTGTGACACACAAACATGCACGCATATTGCTCATGTAAATGCCTGCAAGCAGTCTTAATTTATTGGTCCAAATGCATATGCTTTTTTTTTTTTGCATGTGCTCACAGGTGCAAGTACAGTTACAGATATATGTAAAACAGCTTATGTTGAGACCTTCCCTAGAGATAATTATTTACAGTAGAGTCCTCACATTTAAAATTATTTAAAGCGTAATTTTATTTTAAGCATTAAATTTAAAATAAAGGAACATTATTATGTAAAATATACATACTGGTAAAAAATGTATAGCCTGAATGCACTGTAAGTCACTTTGGATAAAAGCGTCTGCTAAATGCGTAAATTATTATTATTAAAATGAAGAAGTTTTCTCACAAAAGCTTCTCACTTCTCAAAAAAAAAAAATGTAATTATAGATATTATTATATATACTGTATATGTCTGTGATTCAAAATAAATAAATAAATATTAAAATTTAAATAACAAAATTATTTATTTGAAGTAAGTAACTATAATATAGCCACAGTCTCATTTTTAATGCAATGTATTGCATAGGTTGATGAATCTCTGTGCAGGCCTTTCTCTTTATTTACATGCAGACTGATCTAATGCACAGATGGCCTGATATTGCCTGATATTGCCTGAAGGGGGTCTGTGCTCCACTCCTATATGTCTGAGTTGGGGGGCTTGTTTTGAGGGGGGTTCAACTACTATAGTCATCTTCAGTTATTTCCTTCATTATAGTGCAAAATCTGAAAACAGTGCCATGTGTGTGCAGATGTAATATATATATATATATATATATATTTTGTAATGCTTTATTTCATCAAAATGCTTTCTTAATATGATTACAAAGTCTTTAGATGCTGTTGTTTAACAGGATGCACATCTAAAGCTGCTCTAATGTAGTGTGTATCGTCTGGAATAAAGATAAGAGGGTGTTTAATGGTTTCGTTTTCAAAGCTGCATTCTGAGCTTGACATTACAAATCTGTCCGCATTCATAATTTGGACCGTGGATATATATATATAGTAATGCCTTTTTTAATTGAAATGCTTTCTTGATATGATTGCAAAGTCTTTAGATGCTGTTGTTTAACAGGATGCACATCTAAAGTTGCTCTAATGTAGTACGTATCGTCTGAAATAAAGATAAGAGGGGGTTTAGTGGTTTCGTCTTCAAAGCTGCATTCTGAGCTTGACATTACAAATCTGTCTGCATTCATAATTTGGACCGTGGACAAATTGCAGATGGATGCACAGGCTGCTCGTAATTTATCATCAAAAATTAGTGGTTAGCCGGTTCCTCTGGGAGATGTAAACAGGGCTACCTGTGTTGTGTGAGCAGTGTGGTCTGTTCCTCTATCTTTGTCTCTATCGCCGTCTGTCTCTTCTCATTTCTCAAAGAGGATTTTCGGCCTCATATTGGTGGAAAGTGTGTAAAGTGCACAGGCCAAATTTTAAAATGAAAACTGTCTAATAAATTAATTTTAATTGGTGCTTTCATGGGTTGTTCAACAGGGTTGTTGTTTCTTTAAAAACATCCCACATTTGTCCTGTAGGCTCTGACAATTTGAGAATTCCTCCCTTCATTCTTCTCCCAGAGTTATGTGCACTTCAAAAATCCGCACCTGCTCGCTGTGTGGCTCTAAGTGTTGCTATGGTAGTGTTTTTCTTATTTTTTTCCTGCTTTCACCCAAATCATGCAGTGTGTTGAGTAGAGAGAGCATGAAAGCAGTGACAGGAAGCTGAAGAGTGTAAAGTGGCAGTCAGAGAGGTGTTTGTCTAGATCTTTCACTTTGGATAAAAGCGTCTGCTAAATGCGTAAATTATTATTATTAAAATGAAGAAGTTTTCTCACAAAAGCTTCTCACTTCTCAAAAAAAAAAAATGTAATTATAGATATTATTATATATACTGTATATGTCTGTGATTCAAAATAAATAAATAAATATTAAAATTTAAATAACAAAATTATTTATTTGAAGTAAGTAACTATAATATAGCCACAGTCTCATTTTTAATGCAATGTATTGCATAGGTTGATGAATCTCTGTGCAGGCCTTTCTCTTTATTTACATGCAGACTGATCTAATGCACAGATGGCCTGATATTGCCTGATATTGCCTGAAGGGGGTCTGTGCTCCACTCCTATATGTCTGAGTTGGGGGGCTTGTTTTGAGGGGGGTTCAACTACTATAGTCATCTTCAGTTATTTCCTTCATTATAGTGCAAAATCTGAAAACAGTGCCATGTGTGTGCAGATGTTATATAAATATATATATATATATATATATATATATATATATAAAGTGGCAGTCAGAGAGGTGTTTGTCTAGATCTTATGATTAGTACGGCGCAAGGATAAGCTGTCAAATGTAACATCAACAGAGCTGTCTGTCAGGGGGTCCCAAGGGGGCTTTGTCAAGGGCCTCTACTGTCTTTGATAAAACTGCTCTTGCACTCGGCATTGGGCTACAAAGGGCCGATTGTGGCCGCGTGCTGAAAGGTGAGGCTGTAATTTCAAAATGGAGGCAGAGGGACCGAGGTTGTCCGGCAAACTCTGTGGTTTGAGCGCCCGCTGCTCCACGCTGTTTATCTAGGTGACAGAATCAACCAGAAGATCTGCAGGGCCTCTTGCTCTCATGGCTGTGCAAATATCTCTCACAGCCAAAAACGGAGCCCTCCCTCCTTGCTTCTTGCTTTTTTTTTTTTATTCTCCCTTCAGACTTTCGGTTTCAGGTCTGGTAGTCTCATTCTCAACTTCACAAGTACTGTACTGTGTATTAATAACAGTGCCTTGCTGTTTGGTCTCGGCTGTACATATGGATGTTTATCAAGAGGTGGCTGGTTTCAGGACAGAACACGCTGAACTAGAGCGAGGTGCCTCGTGTGTGGCCGCTGGGATGATTAAATTTAAGTCGGCCTTTATTTTCTGCTCTCAAAGTTTAGTGGGACTGTCATGGGACATAGGTGGAATGCTTAACGGGCCCCAACATTCATTTCCTTTATTTTAACAAGCTGCCAAATAACTCAATGCTAAATGACCTGACCCTGAACTCTTAGAAAATGTGTGATTATGTCTCAAGTTCCATGCCATTTGTATTGTATTTCAAGTCAGTTTTTTTTTTAATGAATTAGTGTGTGAAGGTGGTTAGGGATGCATGAATAGATGTAAATACAGTGGCAAATTATGAGTTAAAGATGAATCCACATTTGTTAATGCATTTAATTTGCATAAAGTGATTAGTGTATTTCCGAGTGAAACAGAATATTAAGCAGGAAATAATTTAGAGTGAGACTTGATTTTATTTATCAGGTTTTGATAAAAAAAAGCATAAATAGATACAGATACAGTGACAATTTATGAGTTAAACAATTGTAAAAATTTAATTTGCATGAAGAGATATATTTCAGAGTGAAACAAAAATATTTTGTTTTAATGTTATTAAATAATCATTTTACTCACCCAAGAGGCTAGAATTTTATTGTATTGTATTGATGTATCTGAATGAATCTAAATGCATGAAGTGACGTATTTCAGATTGAAACAGAATATTATGTGGAAAATAATTCTTTAATTATCAGGATTGTGAAATCGGGTTATGATATTATTCTGTGTTATTATTGGATAATATTGTTCCTCCCCAACATGGCCTTGGTTGCATCACCAGAAATAAAACTCATTTCAGAAGCAGAGTAAGTTATTACGTTTAAATAATTTTTTTTTTTATTTGTTGAGACTAATATGCACCATTTATTTGGGCACAGATGGAGCATTTATTAAGAATTTCCTATTATCTCAAAATGCTTCTTTCTTTTGCTTTCCCCTATAGCGGAAGCTGAGCATGTGGACGCGAGACTGGCCGTGGCTGATCTCCACTCTCACCCTCACCCGCTGCTGGATCCCAGCATGCCTGGGCCTCTGCCTCCGGGCCTGGGCGACCACGACCTCCTAACCTGTGGCCAGTGCCAACTAACATTCCCACTGGGGGACATTATGCTCTTCATCGAGCACAAGAAAAAGCAATGTCAGGGTTTGACGACCGGCCACAGCTGCTACGACAAGATGATGGACCGCAATAGCCCCTCGCCGCCCCGCACAGAACTGAGGAAAGTGGTGGAACCGGTCGAAATTGGAATCCAGGTGACACCTGAAGAGGAGGACGAGAGACTGTTGACACCTCCAAAAGGAATTTGCCCCAAGCTAGAAAGTGGCCTGGCAGGTAGGTCAAACTCTCTCCAGAAAAGTTTTGAGCAGGCGTACGAAGCTGACGCTAATGAACTCACACGTTCTCTCGTGCCAGTGTGTTCTCTAATACTGATGTGCACAAATGTACACTTACAGCCTGCAGAGTTGCAGACAAAGGGAAACACACTCTCATTTACCTCGGTAGGACTCTGGGCGTCCTGTAGTGATTGTGATACCGCTCATCTGCGAGCCTCAAGAGAGATTGTTTTTCCTTCAGCTGATTTCATTAGGGGAGCCTACGCCGTGCAAAGTGAAACATCACATTACTGACTCAAAGCCCTAAAACCCCCTGAAGGACTCTGGTAGTTGAAACAAATTGTGCAAGACGTGACAGAGAACTCACCCTACTTTCATGGAAAAATCCAGCCTGAGCCATCTGCTTAAAAGGTGAAAAGCTCATTAAAATTCAAATGCTTAAAAGAGAGAGAGAGAGGGAGAGAAAGAAAGAAATAGAGTAGGATTAAAAGAGTGAGTTTGCTATTGAATAGGGGTAAAGAGGCAGTTTAGTTTAGTCCAGCTGTAGGGAGAGACCTCTCCCAGTTATCTTACAAAACAGTGCAGTCAAGTCCTTCACAAAGAACCTGGAGGGATCTTGGGAAATGGGTCTCATAAAATAATATTCTAGGTTGGACAAAGTTACCGGGGGAAACGCAGGGGAGCAGCTTATGATACTGCCTCGGTTTTTAATAACGGCGTTTTTTAATGCCTCGCAATCCTTATTTGCGAAAGTTACCCGCGGCATCGGAGACAATTTATTCCGTGCCACCACAATGCCTCGTGTATTTAAATGTCTGTAATAATGAGGCCGCTGCTAAATTACTCAGTACCTCACATGATGCAGGCAGACTTCACTCCCAGACTGACTGACTGGCTGGCAGCTCGCACTGAGAGAGTGTTGGCATCACTTGTGAAATATGATGCAAGCGTCCACACAGTTACGCTCAAACTGTTCTTTTTAAAGACTGACTGGTAACTGTGTGCTTTGCTAACTACACACAAAAAACTTTATGTCAGGATTCAAAAATGAAAATTTTAGTGCACCAATATATAGTTAAAATATATAAAGATTTAATTTACTTTTAATAATTCTAATTAATAATAATATATATATTTTCCTTTTTAAATAAAAATAATGCACAATTAATTACTGGTAAATTAAGCTGTTATTTTCTTGCATATTAGTGGCGAACAGTGTAGTAACAAAATATGAAGATGACCTTTTTTACTTCTTTCCCTAAGGAAACATTTATGGCATTTTATGCACAAACGACAGTAATGATATGTTGCTTACGTCAGTAAGAGTCAAATTTCATTCATATAGTTTGACTGTATTATATTATAGAATGATTATAGTTCGAGTCAATTTCACTTGAAATTGACAATTGTCGGATGTTTGCTGTGTATCGCCTTTGACCCTTTTTTATCTTTTTGTAAAAATATATAATTTTTTTGTTGTTGATGTAAACCTTTAAATTACTCATTCGGAGTATATTCAATTTTTGTTCCTGACAAAATCCTCATTTTGTAAATGTTAAACAAAACATTAGCTTGTATTTTTAAAGATAAAATGGAAGAAGGCCACTATTCATGTTACTTTTAGTGCAAATTAATATTATATATACAGTATATATGTGATAGAATCAGATTGTCCAATTAATGTTATTTCAGTCAATGCCATATAAGATTACTAAACCTCTCTTTATTTTGATCCACATTTGTGAAAAGATCCACACCGAAAAGTAGATTTACTCTCATTTAAACTTCAGAATTTGAAAAATGGCATATGAAATGTGAACATTTGCCTTTGTAAATCATATTGAAGTCAGCAAGAGTAAATTTTACACCTTTCATTAATTCAGGGCTGGAGAGGGAGGCAGTTCGCAGAGAAGAATATAACGGCAGATGAAACATCCTCTGAAAGTGATTAAGACGCTTGAATGTCAGCTTGAGCATGCGGCTAAACACTCACAGGCTGCCTTGTATTCATAATTGCCTCCCAGCAGGTTAAAGTATTCTTTTATGCTAAACCTTTCCCGTTCCATTTGTTCTCGACCTGAAACAGAAAATGACACGCAAAAAAACATTCAGCCACTCCGCCTTGAAAATAGCAGTGGTACTCTTGCTAGGCAAAGCACAGATCATTTTTCATGAATTAGTTTTTTTTTTCTTCTATAATATATCCATCTGCCAGCTTCAAGTGGAGAAATGAGAGATACATGAGAATGCGGGAGAGAGTGAGAGAGATGTTGATGAGGAAGATTCTAAACGCTAACTCTGATCAGACCAACATTATTTTCGCAAGAGTTCCCTCCTCTTCCAGATCCTCACATCTCTTTAGGCCAGAGTACATTTTGATCTTTTCATTAAACGGTCCGTGTAACCTTGACACATGAGCAATGCTGTGACAGGTCTTAAATTCCACCGCTCAATTCCTACACGTCAACCTCCATCACATCAGCCCTCTCTTCTTGGCCTCTCACATGCGATTCACCAATAGTCCAACCTGAGGAGCATCATTTCAGGACTTACTTGGAAATTAACATTCCCAATGTCACGGCTCATATCTTGCGTATATTACGAGCCTTTAGGAAGAAAATCATCCAAGTGATTCTTGGTTTTTGGCTGAGTGAAGGTACTAAACGGCAACTTCATTAAGTCACATATACGTAACTGTTCTCTAGAGACGTGATGATAACTAAACATTGTGTGCTTTGCTCCGGAAACCCTATAATCAGTTGAAAAAGACCCTGTGATAAAGTATTCTGATTACTGAAATTGCTTTTAGCGATAATTCTCCCAGTGGCTTTTTCTTTATTAGTGTGTATGAAAAAGTCAGCGTTATCTATGACAATATGGGACAGCCATTGAAGAGGAACCACTTGAGGGTTGAATTCAATATTTCTCGCATAAATATCAGCAGGACACAGGCTCGCTCAGCACCGTATTGTATTGCCACTTAGCCATCTTAAGTTTCAGCAGAATTTAATTATATTTAATAGCCCTAATTAAATAAAATATGACATTCTGCATACCCTCAGGCAATAGGAGCTGCTGCTGGGGGCATTGGGAGGGCTTCGCACAGCTAGGTTAAAACAGTTCAGTGGCACTGAAAAATAGGGCCCTGAGATGGCCGACATAACTAGCTGTTGCCACTGTGCACCATTAAGTAGTCCAAATGTGAAATACATACATAAATAAACAAATAAATAAGACATTTACCACCCTTTAATGCATCTAGATGACTTAGCCTGCTGAAGCTGGCCAGGCATTTAATGTTACTTGTTATTTAATTATAGATCTCAGATAGAGGTTCTGTGAACCATGGTGCATTGTGCTGAAAATTTTCGCTGTGAGGATGCCTTAATTAAATTATGAGATAATATTATGCATAAAATCTTAGAATAGGCATTTTTGGTTAAGGTAGACTCAGTCTAAACTGGTCAAGTTAACACATATTCATGTCTAAATACAGCTGGAATAATCAAAATTCTTTAGGAAATGTGAGCTTAATATTCCTCTCTTTTATTTGCCTACTGATGTTTAATTCTCGAAATATGCTTTTGAATCCTCAGTCACTGACTTTATGTGACATATAAGTGATCAGATGTGAAATTTGTACATTTTAAACATGCATGCGTGATGGTGGAAGATAAGAAGATTTTGGCAAGCTCTGTTTGTCATCTGTTTGTTTGTGTTCTACAGCATCCAATAGGGATGGCTGTGTTTTAGTTTTTCAAGAAAACCGAATCAGATGTGGTGTAAAGTAAAGTGTGTAAATAGAGGCTTATTTCTCAGAGTGTTTGGTGTTGGTTGTAATCAAGCTCTTCTTGGTGTGCATGTGTGATGATGCAGCCATGTACCATTCCAAACCGATGTTGCATTTGCGGTTGCCTTAAATATCAGTATGCAAATGAGAGTGGCAAATAGGAAGCAACCATTTCCTTAAGGGTTTTGATTTGTTCAGATATATTTGGTTGCAGTACTGTGCTAACATGACCTTTTTTGAGCATTAGGGTATTTGGTTACTCAAATTATTATTTACCTCAGTTTTATTTTATTTTTTCTTTAGTTTTATTTAGTCATATTATGTTGACTGACATTCAAGACATGTGAAAAATGTTTTAGGTATGTTTAGTTATATTTAGGTATGTTTAGGCTAATCACATTTCGGTATGTAAATAGGTATAAGAAGGAAGGCTAATCGAAATTCGGTATGCAAATACACTGAACATTCTATCAATGTTACTCTCAAATGATCTAAAACAAATATTTTAGATCATTTGATTGATTAATTTGATAATATAGATTATTAAATAAAGATGAAATGTTAATGCATGTTAAGGGGTTTTGGAAAATATCTGTATTGAGGAAGGAATTAACATATAAATATATTATCACTATTACTGTTGTTATTAAAAAAGTGACAAAAAAATGCCGTACAATTGCATTAGTGTTCAATCTAAAACCTTACAGCAGGCTGCATCAGTTAGCTCGCATTCTATCACCATAGGAACGCCAGCTGGCCCCGTGGTGGGATGGTGGACATGTCTTTTGCCATGATGGGCCCCTGTTTCTGTCAGTGTTTCACTCTCTCTCCCTCTCTCGATTTCTCTCTCCACTCACACCGTCTAAGCACACTCACACAGCTTTACACGTCTAACAAGTGCTGCGACAGGGGGAGTTATTTCTGACCCTTGGCTCACCAGATCATCGCAGTGAATATTTCATGAGACATGCTATATTTATTAGGAAATTTACCACTTTCCACTCTCACCCTGCCTCACCTTGAGAGTGATCACAATGCTGGGCCCGTCGCTTCAGAGCCCACACCTGCCATTAATGTTGCCTCGAATCTAGTGCCAGAACGGTTTGTAGGTGTTATGCAAATTGATTCATCAGGAGCCAAAACGCTTGATGTTTGGGGCCTGTCACCCTCAGTGTCAGCATATTTGATGGTCACAGATTCATTGTAAA